GGCATATTTAACAAGTGTTTTCCCCGAGTTGTAAGCTAAGGTACCTAACATATTTACTTAGACCATATTAACCATAAGCCATCCTTTTGGCCATTTATTTGATGTGCCTTTCGAAAGGCACCTCATTAATCATGTGTCTCATGAGCCGGAGCTGATTTTTTTGATCTCGCCTGAAGCTAATTACGCACCTAGGCAGAGGGCGGTCGAAGGGCATGGGTGGAGGGAGTGGCCGAGGAACGGACACTGCAAATTTCGCATACTAGTAAATGATACCGAGATGCGAACGAGAGGGAAAAGTCGTTAACTGGCGACGTTTTCGAAATTATATAGCTTTCTCTCCCTTCGCCCCCTTGAAAATCTTTAAGAAAGAATTCCAAAATCCAATGGAGAGTGAAAGCAGCCGGCAAAATGCACGAGTTTCGTTTTGCCGGGGCCCCCAAAATAAAAATCCCAAAAATCTCCCAAAGATCATTGACTGTCGCTGTAACTGTGTGATTTTTTCACCTGCGTGTAGGCTTGAGCTGTGCAGGTGTGTGTACCACACTTGCTGCTTGTTTTCATTTTTGGGCTTGGCCCGATCGTCGATCAAAGTAGTGAACTCGTTTTGAAGTCGCCTTAAACTTATTGAATGTCTGGTCAATGGCTAGGGGGAATTTATCGAATACGTGTGGGCTTATATTGTGCACATATGAATGCATGTGTTACACACTGCGATTTGGCAGTAACTGCATTTATTTTTGATTGCCGAAAACAATTATATTTTAATGCTGATTACAGCATTAAATTGGAGGGCATAATTCTGTTAAAAACCGCTTGCCTTAGTCAGTAAAATTAAAATAAACCTGGAATCAGTTAGGTGAAACAAACTTTGTTGGCGTTTGGCAAGAGTTAATTTAAAACTAAGTATATTTACTAACTAGTTTTACAAAGCCATCGATAGTAAGCAGTGTTTGTGGTCAAAACTGTAACATTGTGTTAAATATGTATGTTTTGTAAATAAACAATATTTATAATTTAATAAAAGTTCGTAGATTTAATCTGTTAATTTGTTAACCTCACAGGCTACTACTTTTTAAGCCCTAATTAGCGTTATTTGCAAAATTATTTAAACCTTTATAGGATGTAAACAAACATTTTAATTTTATTTATTAATTAGTAATTAATGTCTATAATTAGTCCGCGTTGGCCACAACTCAAGTCTAAATTTTCGTGTTAAGGTGCTGGAATTATAGTTATCTAAGTAATCACAGGCATATTAGGAAAGGCAATATATAGGCACGTTAATCCACCGATATGTAGGGTGCACATGTATCTGTGGGTAACCATTCTGCTTATCATGCACTCGCCTTTCGCAATGTGATCAGCGATTTATGAGCACGCCGCCAAATGAAAAAGAAAACGCAAAACTTAAGACACAAACGTGTCGAAGCCGAGACTGCATCTGCAGGGAGCAGCAGCAGGTTGCAACTTACATAAAGCAAGTGCCAGAAGAAACCAAAACCAAAATAAAGAAAAAGCGGAAAAATATCTGAAAAACAAGTGGAAAACCAGTCATGAAGTTGCAGGCCAGGAGTTTTTGTGCAATTGCTTAAATATTTTTCCTTTTTTCGGGTTTTTGTTTCTTTTGTCTCTTGCCTTTTTTTATTTTACCACTTGCGTAAATTATTTTTAACTGCACTTTCGCGCCAGGGTTTATAGAGTCGGGGGAGTCGAGACTACTTCTTTTGGATTTCTTGTTTATGTTTTTTTTGTCTGAGACTTTTTGTTGGTTTACTTTTGCTTTTTTCTTTGGTATGTGGTCTGCCCGAATGCAGATGTTTGATGGGGCTTTTTTGGTAGCTTTTGCTGCTGTTTAAAACTTATTCTATTATTGCCACCGCTATTTTACTGCTTTTTCCAATTCCACTATTTTCCTGATGTATTTTAGATACAATTTAATAGATGTATGTTTTAATATAAACCAAAATGTCAATATTTTATAATGCAGGATAAATAAATGGGATAAATTGAGTATATTGTAAGCAACAGGTCGAAAAACTTAAAAAATGTCGATTTTTTTATAAAAATTTTAATCTTTAAAACAAAACAGATTCATCATTCAGATTCTTTTTTGTGATATAGGGGTCCAAATATACTAGGAACTACAAAATATTTTGTAAACTAGTGTTATTTCACCCATAATTCGTAGAGTAAAAAAGTTAAACTGTTATCCCAAAGAATAATGTAAAAGGGGGATTAAAATATTATTTTTTATTTAAGCTATCCATAAACATTTCCTTGCAAGATAGTTTGTATGTTGATTTTGCAAATCTTAGATGTTGAAATGATCGGGAAAGCGGATTGTTGGCTTTATCTTTCTGCGCCAAAACGGAAGGTACAAGATTAGTCAGCTATAGCTGACTGCAGTTGTTCGTGATTTACGCTTGCATTTTACCCTCAATGATTTCAGTCTACACTTTGCAACTAAGTAACATTTTGGCCCTATATATCAGCATCACTGACCATTCGATCAATTTTAGTGCATTGTGCATTAGTGAAAAGATTTATGTGTCACCCCCGTTAGGTGTATTTGGTTTGTACCATTTCTAAATAGTTGTGCTCCATGCTACAAAGAAATTAGGCACTGTTAAGACATTTTTGTTGTATTTTCGAACACTAAATACAATGTACGTTTTTACTCTACGCGTAAGGGTAAACTAATTCAAAAATTGAACGATTGGAACTCCACAGCTAACTTTTTTAAATACCCGTGGAGTTAAATTTTTCATAAGCTCAGGTGACTGAATTTTATCTCCTGATAGCTTGTTTAAATCGTTTGTGCACGGTCAATTTAGCTAAATAATACATTTTGGTTTTCCAGTATTTGAATTTAATAATTAGGTCTAACGTTTACTATTTTCCCGATACATAGCTTGGTTGTTGTATAAGTCGATGTTTTTTTCCTCAACTTGCTTCTATACTTGCCATTTTTTTGCCTAGCGTTGTGGCTTTTGTTGTTGCTTTCACATAATTCGAGTTGAACGCTCTATTTAAGACATTTAAGTGGAAAATCCCTTAAAGTAGTTGTGGTGTCTGCCCTGCTCGCCAAAAAGTGATCAAACCGTTTAATTGCACCCTGAAATGGAAGGCGCTTCTTCGTTCGGTTTATTTTATATAGCCTATAATTTCGTATATTATTTTTTGTGGGCTTTTGTTAATGGATCTGTTACCTTTTCCTAAGCCGTTAAGCATTCGCAATGCAACCGTTACACGCCTTTTACAATTTACAAAAGTTATATTCATGTACATTTCTTTACCATCCCAGAAATACTCAAACGCGAATTCGGTTATGTAACCTGCATGAAAAAATGTATAAAAAACCAAAGTCGAAAAAAGATTCTCCAGTCACGTATCTCTCACAAAGTGCCAAATAAAAAAAGAAAAACAAAACGCATATTTCCAATCCAACCCAAGGCAACAGCATTGAATTCTTTTTTATGTGATTTCAATTAACATAAAGTACACATTACATTAACAACAATGACGGAGAACAAGTTTTCAACTTCACTTTCAGTTTTGTGTCCAGAATCTTCAATATAAAACAAGAAATCAATGTGATCATGAACGCAATTTCCAACAACCCTATTTAAAAATGTTTATCGAACTTCGTGCTTAATTTAATCTAAAAGTAATCTTTAATCTGTGGCCTATTTGTAAGTATAGATCAGCAGTCCATGAAGTACACATTTCACCTAACGCCGGAAATTTAGCAAGGTATACAATTTCAAAAATACACTTTTTGATAATTTCTTGTTTTTTTATTATTATAGAATGCCGCCGTGACGTCAGCATACATATTTGTAAATTTTCTTTCTGCAGACGCAGTTGAAGATTGAAGATGCTAGCTGAAAGTTCAATATTCGAAAGTGTGTTGTTGTTGCTGAGCCAGCTGCACTCTCATTACCGTTTGTAGTTGGTTGTCGGCACTTCTATAAAGACAGATTTACGCGAACAGGTTGTGAAGCCGTCAAAGTCAGTGATGCCTTTTAAGTAGATTTCCAGCTAAGTTTGGCTATTGTTATTAGTTGAAATCAGACAACTGCACTCATAAAAACAAGAGGAACGCTCTAGTCGAGTGCTTCGACTAAGAAATCCGTTACTTAGCCCACATTTGTAAAGTTTTTGTAAAAATGTAAGTGAGATCTTGTTTGAATTATTAATATCCATCTAACACCCTACAAATTTAAATTCGGACCATTCAATTCCATTTTTGTCCAATAGATGGCTCTAATATAATAAAAAGTGAATTTTTCATTGGTTTGATCGGTATCTATTAATAATTAAAAAATAACCCATTAAACTTCTAGTGGCGTGCCACTGTGATGAAACAAACTTGAGCTGCGAAGGATTGTTCCTATTATCGATCCATCGATCTTCAAAAGCTTAAAAACTAATTTTAAACCTAAAAAAATGTATAAATAAACAATTATATTAAAACTAAGTAATATAGAAATATACAATATTTTATGAAAACGAGAAACACCCAAAACTCCTTGGAATGTGTATGCTTTTAATGACATATTCTTAAAGAGTTTTTCAACCAATTTATGTCCAGCGCAGTAATTTTTAAGATTTTGTTTCAGTGTTAATTGAAATTGATTTTTATTGTTAGTACCTTTTTACATGCAGAGAATCGTACTTTTTGACTTAAGAGTGATATGTAATTTTGTTTATCTGCATTAATTTAAAAAATCAAAATATTGTCGAATGTGCTCCACTGTCGTAAAAAAATGAAAAGAAATTGTTAAAGGCTCTCTTGATAAGAAATACTCCCTTTTCTTGCTTACTTACTTAGCTATTTATTTTTCGAGTTATGCATCACCGATCGACGCTGCAGCAACAATAAGGTGGCATACTAAAAGTTAAAGCTCCGCTTTGCCAGCTTTTTGGGCAGCGACGTCGACTTGGAAACGAGGCGCTTGAAAGCGCGCGAAGCGATCGACTCGAATTCAGTCAGCACCGAACGCGCCGCCGAGCAACACCACGCGAATTCTCTATCCCGCACTCTCCTTTTGCTTTCTTCTCCCTTCGAGTAACGGTACTGTGTGTGGATTGTGGATTGCCGATTAATCGATCGCTTTCTCGCCCGCTTTGATTATTTTATCATCGATCGCTGGATGTATTTTTTTGTTGTTGAGTGTCGAAGTGAAATGGAATTTGTTGAATTTTAATTGCACGCAGCACGCTGCCGGCGAAAACAACAGCAAAATTAGCGGGCAGATTTCATTCAACCTGAGATAAAACAACAATTACAACAACAACGCCGAGGAGCTGCCGGAGAAAATAGCTGATAAATAGACAATAATAAATATATAATACAAACAAAGGCCACATACGCCGCTTCAATTAGCGTAAGTTTGCACAGTGAAAATGAATGAAAAGAAAGAGCGGCGAGTAAAAGAAAACAATAATCATGAATTACAAATGACGTTATCAAGCACGTGCAAAAGCCAGTCCATTGCAACCTGTAATATAGTATAATTAACCAAATCATTAGTGGATTTAGCACAAAGGAGGTCTTAGGAAATCTTAGCAGCTATGAAGTGTGTAATCGCATCGGGGAGGGGTCTGTATGTTGGGACCGTTGCTGTTCTCCAATATTATTGCAAACGAACTAATTTTTAATAGCCAAACCATTAGCTGTCCTAATTGCGACCCCACTTTAAAACCGGCGAAATAAAATCAGTTCACTTGAAAGCTTTTTGGAAAAAATATAATGGTACTATTTCGGACTGGTCCTTTGGCCGAAGTTTTACTTTTATACTTCAAAACTGCTATCGATTTGCCCATCTATGGTCTAATAAAATCACATTTTTGCTAGATATCGGCCAGAAAAGACAGATTTTCCAGGTTTTTAGTGATGCAAGTTATGTCTTCCGTTCGCAAAATAAAATTTATTTTGTGTTTTCTTTCTAACGCGAATATACGGCAAAAAAGCGAAATATAGTCGAAATAGGTTTGAGGATAAATCTTAAAAGTGCTACTACGCACTTAAAAATTAGAAAAAAAAAACCCGTTGATGTGGAACATCTCATATACTCGTTAATTCTAGAGTAGAAGGGTATATTGTATTCGTTGAAATGGATGTCAGACTGTCAGTGCGTTCGACTGTATAAACGTCAAGATCTTGGACACTATAGAAGCTAGAGGTTCGGGACTTATAACGTAGATTCTAGTGGTGCATACGCAGGGGAAATTTCATTCAAAACTTTGCTGAGCCAAAATCCCAAAAACGACCTTACCTAAAATTTAAATGTCTGCAAAAAAAAACGAAATAAAGGACAACAAATATATACGTATACGTAATAATGATTATGAATACAATAGTCATTCAAAGGAAAAATGCATATCAAGTCATTGCATAGAAAAACAACCAACTTTTCTGAAACAGAATCTGTAAAACGCCAAATGAAATTAAAATTAAGAATATTAGAATAAAATACATAACTCACTCACTTATATGCGTTATCTGCACAGTAATTTTTTTTTTTTTTGTTCATACTAATGGCTTTAAAGTGACTTGATGGCCAAAGCCAGATAGCACATTTATGTTTTAAGGTCCCGGGGCAAAGTCGTTAGGAAACCAAACTAATTTACGCTCGTTGAGGTTGTCAATTTGTTCTCTCTTTACCAACAAGCTAGTAAAAATTGCTCATAAATACTTTCCATTTTGCAAACCTACAATCCTATAAGTAATAGTTTCTTTTTGCCTGGGCAGCACACAAAATAATAATAACAAAAAGCGCAAAAAACCCTTTGACAAGACTTTTACAAAAGAAACAGCAATCGTTTTTAAAACTTTCGGTTGTGGTTTGTGGCCCGATTTTCGATTAGAATTGTTGTGCGGTCGGGGTCGCATTGGCTTTTGGCGGTTAGGAAACAATGTTAAAGGCTACGAAACATGAAATGAAGCAGTTTGTGAGTCACAAATAATGAGACTAATCAATTTGACTGGAGTTTTGCGCTGTGGATTGATCTAAATGCTTTTAAAGTTCTGTTTTAAAAGCAATTGTATGTACACATTACAACTTATGTAAGGGGAAAGCGATGAAAAACACATGCTCCAAGACTTTTATAAACTTGACAATAACGTATACACAATATTTCGATTTTGGCCAATTGTTACAAGAGGACGTAATGTCACACGTGTCCTGAAGCAGTAATGCGTTGTATTGTTGTTTTAATTTTGTATCATAAGTCATAAGTTATAGAAATTTGTTAATTGCCATTCTGTTATGTATTCATGTTATTTGTTCCTATATGTACTCTACATTTTATAGCCATTAAATTGGCTGATCAATGTATTAAATTCTAAAACGGCCAATTGTTCGTACTCAAGATAGATAAAAAATCGAAGGCATTCGTACGCGATAAAAACAAATAATACGGCCATTAGGTTTTATGCTCTATACTGATTGAAGGATGTGCTAGTTTTGTAGCTTAGTTAAGGATCTGTCAAAAAACGAGACAGAATCTTATACACAGAGAGAATTATTAATGAAATTTACACCCAAATTGATTTTGAAATCAAAATATAACCAAGTATCTGTAAAATTCAAAATACTCACTTTCAGTACAAATTTTTCAAATAATATACATACATACCTCAGGGAATCTTTCTCCTAAAAAACGGGGACAAATAAGGCGCCGTCCATATATTACGTAATCACAACTTCTGCGATTTTTAACAAAGTAATCAATTCATCATACAAAAAAAAAAAATATGGACAGCCCCTAAGGGGGAAACAACAAGGTTAAAGTATTAGGCGTTTTTTTCCAAAATTTGTCCACAAAATAAAATTGAGAATACAAATCCCTAATTTGAGACGTTACTCTTCCTGAATAATTCTATCAGTGTATAAATATGTTTTAATCAAGTCCAATAAATGTGTCTTTGTTATAAAATATTTACATTTTAATATTTCTCTACATTTGCAGCATTGCCAACTATTTTACATTTTTGTCAGAAATTTTTTAACGCAATAAAGGAAGTATTCCCTAACAATAAAGTATACATTCCTACTTACATATATCATTTTAATCAGCAACGCTAAGCTGGTCGATATAGACATTTCCGTCTGTTCCTATACAAATACGACGTAAAATAGGAAAACCACATAGTTCAAATATCTGTATTCTTTAGATGTCACACAATTAGATGCGACAATTGTTCCTTGAAAGAAAATTGTCTGACTATCAATTTTGTAGTTCGGTAATACCAGAAATTTCAATACAGCCCCAATGACCGCTTGAGCAACACTCAATGTTTAAGTGTTTCGAGACTAAATTTCGGAAGTACTGCGATTTCCTCACCTTCCATATTAGACTGGAATTCGCACATTTGTACATTGCACTTTGCATAATTCCGCTTAGTACATTTATGGACACCCCTGAATCCACATGGGTTTGTGGTTTCACAATCAACCTGAGACAGCTACACCCACCCCACTACATTTTCCGCCCTCAGCACGCGTACTTATGCGATAATTGCAGGAAATGCACCACACACCAAATGTTGCATGCAGGGAAAGTTTTTCCTTGAAGTGTGTGCATATTATAAATAATAATAAATGCGAAGCAAAAACAAGAAAATTGCAAAGAGGCCAAAAAAGCTGCGCGGCTGCCCACTGGCTAATTGAAAGTGAAAGGGGGAACCAGACACAGTTCACTAGACATGGGACTGCACAGGCAGAAACTTGGTAAAGCATCTCATATTTCCCTTAAATAATATTAAATTAATATTCGCTATTTCTTGCAATATAAATACCTCAAAGGCTAATATTTTTATTGTTAAAAGCAAAGACTGGCAAAGGAGGATTTTTATCGAATTTTTAAAGCATAATTCTAGTTTTCAAAGCTTATAAGTTATAACTATCATATTTCGGAAAATTATGGAAATGCCCAACCTCCGAAAATCGGCAGTTCCATCTAATGATACGCCTGGTCCGCCACTTCGTTTCCTCGCGGTCGGACAAGTGTTCCGTTTTTGAATTTATTTCGTTTCCATTCGCTTTGATTGCCGCCAAGATATCTGATGTTTTGTAGCCACTTTTTGGAATTTCATAAGCTCGGCCATAAATTGGCCAGTACCAGTTGGCCAGCTGCTATTAACCGCGTGCGTTGCACTCATTTTCGAGTGTTCAAGTGCGTAAGTCGATTTTCAAGCCCCCAGCCATTTTCCGCAAAACTCCCCGCTTGATCTCTTTCCGTTCGTGCAATTATTTTCGTATGAAGTCATTTCAAATGTTAATTCCAGCGACGGCAAACGCCGACGACCTTGCCGCCTTAATTGTCCAAAGATCGGGGAGCGGAGATCGTCGTTCATGGGGGCTATATCCACGGGGGGATCGGGCAATGAGAGTGCAAATGCGAATTCGAATGCGTGCAACGATTTTTGTTCAAACCAGATTAGACAGGCATGTCGCGGTCTTACCACATGCGATATATTAGGAAAAATACATATGTATATACACAAAGTGGTGGGGTCTTTCAGCTAGACTGTCTTTCAGCAGCAGTCAGTGTTTTTAGTAATTTTCAAAACTTGGGATAGCACATTGAAAAAATTTATTTGTTGCTTAAACAGTGTTTAATAAACACAATCGTGACTTCTTAAAAACATAATGATAAATGTATTGTTTTATGACTAGCTTTATACTTACCCAAATTAAAACTGACAAACAGAACAGATAGATAGGTTTATTATAATACAACATAAAAAAACATATAGTCTCCGCATATTTTCCAAATTAACGAGTCAGCTTTTAAAACATCCACTTGATTGAAAAAGATGAAGACATGTTCGAATATAAAAACGCCTAATTAATACTAATGGGCTCAAAAATTAATTTCTCCAGTTATGTAACTCGCGTAGCTTTCGTAATAAAGCTAATCGAAAATTAATTGTCCACAAAATCTAAATTTGAGCTCAGGGCTACAATGTGTCGAAGATTTAATTAAACAATCAAAGCCCAAAATATTGATGTTATGGAACGAAAACAAACCCGAAAAAGATTACCATTATCTCACAAAATTGTTTATTGCGCGGAGCTGTCAAACGAAAAATATTCCTTTGCAATTAGAAGACAAACTTATGATTATGTGGGGAATATTTTGTTCATTTTATTTGTAATCAACTATGATAATAAAGTGGTACATACAATTGATTGTCATTGGTTAAGCCCTCCTTGAAATACACCTGAGAAAACGTAAAATATTAAGCAAACGAATAGATGCCATTGGCCAAAATTAACAGTCAGGTACTAAATTCCGTAGGAAAACAAACAAAAACCGAAAAAACGACGCATTGCAGGCTGACCAAAATTTGAAGGCTGCTCTTAACCCATTGTTGGCC